CAGATATTCTCTTGTAAATTAAAAAGTAATGCGTTACTTTACTAGTTACTTGAAAAAAGTAATCTGATTACGTAACTCGCGTTACTTGTAATGAGTTACCCCCAGCACTGCTTGCCACTAATAGACTTGCCACTTCTAATGAGTTTCTTTGTTCTTTATTTTATTACTAACTTTTTATTTGACCTTTGTAAAGCAATGTTTACTTAGAAATATTTGAAGGCTACAAGCTGTTTTAATGTATCATTATTATTATTATTATTATTATTATTATTATTAGCATTAATAATAAACTAATTTGTTTGTTTGTTTGTTCATTTCTTTTCAAATAGTTAAATAGTTCCAGTAGTTTTTGCTAAAGTACCAAGAACTGTGAAATTTTACTGGTATAACACTATTTGTAGTATTGTAACTATCAAATTCTGAATTCATTATTGTGAATTTGAACCTGTAATTGTTACACTCTAAATAATTAGTTTTTCACTATGAAATATGGTCTGAAAAATTTACAGAGAAGTCTGGAAGTTTGAGTCTGGAAATGTATGTAATTTTGAAATGGAAAATGTGTTGGGACCCTGTAGTGCAGGACCCTATTGTTTTGTTTTCCTTAAGATTATATTATTGCCCAAGCAAAGAAAGTAGTGATAATAAGTAGTTATTACCATTGTATGTTATTACCATTGTAATATTATCATTACCATTGCCAATAGTTGCATTACCACAGTGAGTGTTACATACAGTACCAGAATGGAGCCACGTAGTTGCAGGGAAAAATACTTGATAAATTTAAATGAACTATCAGATATTTATTGAGATTAATTAATTATATATTTTTTCTGTTCCCCCAGACATTAAACTTTTTCATTAAAAAAGTGCTCTCTACTTAATCTCTCAATGCTTGTATGGAATTTTTTTGGACTAAAAAACATTTTTGCATGAAACTATTTGAGCTATCCAGCTGTCATTAATGTTCCTATGATATTGTGGGTTGGAGCCAAACCCTTTCTCTTTCATAAGCAAGGGGAATAATGGGATTCTCTGTCACTCCCCATATTTGATAATCCCAAGTTTTGTATTTTCACTCTGTGACAGAACTGAGAAATACCTACCGTAGAATCTATCACTGTCCCAGGATTGTGATAGACTCATAATTTAGTAACATTAGTAATCGCTGCAGTTTTATGACTATTCAACTCCTTGTTTTCTGTACAGATGTATCTTGTCATCTTTCCAGAGGGAACCCGCTACAACCCTGAGCTCCAGAAAATTATCAATGACAGTCAGGCTTTTGCTGCTAAAGAAGGTATTGTTCTATTGGATGATTTTATGCATCATGTTTTATGTTGTTGATTGGATTTTGAGATGTGGGCATTAAACTCAAAAGTAAAGTCAGATAAAACTGGCAGGGTTTAAACAGACTGTTGGAGTAGTCCTGCATATGTCATCAGATAGAAGTCATTTCACTTGAAGATCCGGTTATGACATTTTGTTTAAGCATTTACAAGGTCAAATAAAAAAAAAAATAAAAAAATGTAAGCAATATTGCATTTAGAAACTAGAGTGAATTTTCATTTCATGTCAACTTTAAAGGAACAATTCACCAAAAAAAAAAAAATACATATATAAATCAGTCATTAGTTATTTAACATTGTGTGTTTCTTTATATTATTTATGGTGTTATTTAATGATAATCAGCTGTTATACAGTATGGCTTGGAGTATACCAACCAAGACCAAACACCTTTTACTCAAAATTCACTTCTATTTGATATTTAAAAGCATAACATTTGCACTATTATTTGACACATCCATAGAACTCAGGAATGCAAACTTTCATTTTTAATTCAAAATAGGTCAGTTGTGTGATTTCAGGATGGGAGTGATGGTACTTGTGTGTGTGCTCTGGTTTTTATGTTTTTGCAGTGATGAGTATTGTATCCAATTACAGGCATGTTGAAAGCAATGACTTTTACTGTATTTACTGTAGTTTATTCAGAATGAGCTCAATATCTTGCCGCAAGTTTACTGACTGCATTCTACACACTCGCAAATCATCTCATTATAACAAAGAAAGTGTAGACACAATATAAATAAGAGTTCCCTATCATAACGGTCTCTCACATTGAGTTTATGACGCTTGGGATATACTCTGTTTTCCTCCAAATACTGAAGCCCGATTTGTTAACGTTTGTGCAGCTGCACAAACCTATGGCATTTCAGCCCACCAAAATGGGTGGGCCGACTGCCTATTGTTATGACCTGTGGATCAAATGGAAGCAACAAAACGAGGGACACGCAATCAGATTTAGGCTCAGAGAAGAAAGGCTTTATTAATACAAAATTAACTCTATAATAAAACTAAAACAAAACAAAAACAACAACGATATTTCTGTAAACATCAACATCATCAGTGCAATGCAAGGTGCCTGGCTGAATGTGTAATGTGCTGTTGTAGTGTTGTAAAATGCTCAAAACAAACACAACACAATGTCCCAAGCCCACATCCCCATTCTGACTCTGTTAGCAATCTATTTTGATGGAGCATCTGAACCACAGTGACAGGTGTGCCCAATGGACTGCAGATTAGAGTAAGTCGTAGGTAAAGCCAACGATCACAAAGCTCCCAAAATCAAACAGCATGCATCGTCACACTATATAAGTTGGCGCTGAATGCCATTTCGAATCTTTCTCCTTCACACGGGCGTTGTGTGCCACAAAGACCACAGCCCAGGCAATCGGCAAGTCAATGGCCAGTCTGGTGGTGCTTGAGCGCCACTTCTGGCTAAACCTAACGGAGATCAAGGACGCTGACAGGACTGCCTTCCTCAACTCCCCAGTCTCTCCCTCTGTGTTGTTCGTTACAGGCCATGTGCCAGAAACCATCCTGATCTGTCAGGAGAGAAGAGGGTTATGTCCCACTGAGGCCAGACCTCCCTCAAAGAAGTCTCATGTTTGCCTTCCAATCCCCCATTCAGCTGTGGGTGTTGGAGGCTCTGTTTACACTGCCAACTCTCACTTTTCACTCACCCAAGCAAACTACCGCTGTGAGAGCAGACCCATTGGCTATAAAGAGCACTTCTCCTCTTCGCGACACCTCGTGGTCAGTTCCCTGTCTCCATGCAGCGACCTGCCGCCTAAAAAACTCAGACCCCTTGCCGGCCGGCTGCAAACTTGGGAAGCCATCCTGGGCTTAATGGGTTCTGCAAACTATTAAACGTGGCTACTTGCTTCAATTTGCTCGCAGACCTCCCTGCTTCAAAGGTGTGGTCGAGACTTCGGTTCAGGACAATGATGCTTACGTTCTCTGCTCCAAAGTGCAGTATCTGCTGGCAAAGGGAGCTGTCAAAACGGTCCCATCAGAGAGCAGCAAGTCAGGGTTTTACAGCCGCTATTTCCTCATTTCAAAGAAAAATGGTGGGCCCAGGCCCATTATCAATCTCAGGCTCCTGAATCGCGCCTTAATAAGGTGGCCATCCAGGATGCTGACTTTAAAACAGATCCTCGAGACTGGTTTTCATGAAAGTAAGCATGAAAGTAAGATGCTTACTTTCATATCCTAATAGCCATCACAGACCGTTCTTGAGATTCGCGTTCGAGGGGGTGGCTTACCAATATACAGTCCTTCCATTCGGACTGTCCCTGGCTCCACGCACTTTTACCAAGTACATGGACTTAGGTATGCTCTCTCCCCTCTGAGGCAGATGGGAATCCTTGTCATAAAGTACCTCGACAACTGGCTGGTTTTAGCCCGGTCAGAACACGAGCTCTGTACTCAGAATCAATTCAGCCAAGAGCTGTCTGTCTTCCAGCAGGTGAGTCGGTTTTCTGGGGGCAGTTATAAACTCACCCCAGATGCGGGCCTGGTTCTTGCCGGAATGCTCACTGAGAATTCAGTGGCTAGCGGCATCTTTAAAGATAGGGGCTTTCTTTCCCCCAAAACTTTCCAGAGAATCCTGAGGCTGATGGCAGCTGCGTCCCCTGTGATACCTTTGGGCCCTTCCCCCTTAGAAGGCCCCTCACCTGTATCAGACAGGAGTCCAATTGGGTCTGACCTCCAGAAGAAAGGTTGTTACGAAAAAGGCTTCCAACTTGGGTTGGGGAGCTCTGTGTGAGGGCAGCTCGGTGTTCGGCTACTAGTCCAGCCTGGAGCAATGCCTGCACATCAACTGTCTCAAAATTATGGTGATTTTTTGAGCCCTTAAAACCTTCTTGCCAGCCCTGAAAGGTCACCATGTCATCATCCATTCAGACAATACAACAGTGGTGGCCCTCATTAATTTGCAAGGGTGGCCTCTGTTCGTAGTCTCTTTACAAGATGGCAAGACGTCTCCTTCTATGGACTGCAATCTGGGCTCATCGTGGGTGGTGCATGTGCTTAACAGACTGAACCAGGGAGCAGACATGCTGTCCTGGGGCAGTGTGTCTCCAGGAGAATGGAGACTTTACCCCCAAACATTTCAGATGATTTGGGAGATCTTCAGAAAGGCAGAGGTAGACCTTCGCTTCAGAATACAACTCTCATTGCCCAAAATTTTTTCCAAGGAATAGGACATGCTGGCCGGCCCGTGAATGGCCCAAAGCCGCCTGTACACCTTTCCCCCGGTTGCTCTGCTCCCTCTGGTCATCAGACGGATCAGGGAGACCGGATGCTCAGTTCTAATGGTGGCTTCACTCTGGCGTAAGCAGTCGTGGTTCCCCGACTGACATGAGCCCTTCCTCCCTCTGAGGACAAGCAAGGAGCTAAATTACTTTGCCCGGTCCGGGCCCTCAAGATTTATATGGAGCGCTCTAGCCAGCTTTGGAGGCCACTCCAAAGGGCTGCAAGTTACGAAGCAGAGATTATCCCACTGGATAGTGGATGCAATATCCCTGGCTTGCCCCTCAGTGGGCTCTGAGTGCCCCATTGGAGTGAGGGCCCACTCCACTAGGGGGATGGAGTTTCTATTGGGGATATTTGCAAGCCAGCCGGCTGGTCATCGCCATCTACCTTTGGTAGGTTTTATAACCTGGACGTCGCTGCCCTTCAGGAACAAATCTTGTCCATCTAATTGTCTTGCATCCCTGGTAAGTGGTCTAGACTGTTTTGAATGTGTGCTTCGGCCGATGGCCCGGGTCTCACTAGTTAGCCTGTGTTTCTTAGGGCCCTCAGAGTGGTTCCCTAGAGCTGGGCTCGCAGAACAGCTTCCATTCTGACCTTATAGAACAGTGCTATGGTAAATCGTTCCCCCAAGCGCCATAAACACAAGGTGAGAGACCATTTCGATAGGGAACACTCCGGTTACTAACGTAACCTTGGTTCCCAATGATAAAGGTTACGTTAATAACCAGAGCGATTCACTGGTGTAGTTTATTGACTACAGACTTCAGCCAGCATAGTGCCATATTTAATTTTTGACAGGAATGAAAATGAGGCTGTGAGGAACAGAAGAACTGCGTGTTCAATGGATTGTACTGTTGTTTAACAACATAGCAATTGTTCAGCAGGTGAAAGGTGAAACGAAAATAAAAAAAAGCTTTCAGTAAATAAAAAAACTCCATAAAAAATGTTTAAATTCCGTGGTTTTATATAGTGCGTGCCATTGTAAAGACTAAGTCTATCCCTCAAAGCATAATTTTCGTTATGTTAAATTCAATAGGGCATGTAAACTGACTAAGGCTATTACAGTTTTTGCGCAAGTTATGCTGTAAAATAGGGCTGCAACAAACTATTATTTTGATAATTGATTAATCTTTCAATTATTAGAAAGATTAATCGACTAATCGTTGATTATTTCACTGAGTAATCAGTAGGCTTTGATTATTCAGCTTTTGCAATTTAAAATAGTTATACAAATTCTATACATTTTCATATACACAGAGCTGCTTTATTGCAGAAAATCAAGTTGTAACTGAAAGCGACACTGACACCGTTTTTTTCATGTTTAATACTGTAAAGCTGACATGACTTGACTTTACTAGAGTGCCGATTGCAAAGCTGGTGATATCCACATCACTATCATCAGATTGCTTTCTTAACTGCTGTTTTCCCACAGCATCATGTTTGTTGTGTGTTTGTTTTGTTATTGAGAGGAAAGCACACAGCACATATTTACACATTCATCTAAAAACCGCTTTCAGCAGTTCAGACTGCATTGGGATGTTCGCTAACCCCTAACCGAAGAACGAAAAAGAATATGGCGGCAATCCTATGCCATTAATAACCGAGCGCACCACTGATGCTGGCGCGCGTGGTAAATCACTTCCGCGAGAGGAAAACAGATTTACACGCGAGGAAACGGGAGCCCGCGAGCTCATTTCAAACCCTCGCGCACGTGACATGTCTTCTGCGCGCAATACAACCCCTCGCGCGCGCATGATCATTCCCCACATCCTCGCGCTCGATCTTTCCTCACCTGCTCGCGCAAACACTTTTATTTTTGTCAGTTGTGGGGCGGGGCTTGCTGTTTTAATTGTAACCTCAAATGTCATTGGTTATTCCTCTTTTACGGAAGTCAGTATTTTTATTTATTTTTTTTTTTTTATTAATGCCAAAACACTTAATAACAAGCATATAACCACAACAACCTAAAAAACAATAGAGCTTTTATACATTTTTTTGTATAAAAACATTACAAAAAAATAATACAAGATAGAAAGTAAAAAATAAATAGATAAATTAATAAATAAATAAAACTAAGAACAAACAAATAAATAACATAAACCAGAGGGGGGAAATTATACAAGGTTAAACATTGAAAGCAATTTTTTACTTTTGAATGATTTTTTTTTTTTATGCCCATCAAAGATAAAACGTAAGAATTACAGTCAGCCAGGAAAATTGACAGTACTGGGTTCTTACCCAAAAATTTACACTTATGAATAAAAAATTTGCCAAGTATAATAAAAAGATTAACAATATATTGAATCCCAACGTTAGAGTTATAATAAAAGAAAATAATATCAAACGTGTTGATACATATTCTAACATTTGTTTTATCTGAGAGATATGTACATAACTCATTCCAAAAAAATTTTACACAAACACATTCACAAAAAAGATGTACAATGGTCTCTTCTATATCACAGAAAGTAATTTTTTTCAATATTTTGCATATACTTATTAAGTACACAATTACAAGAGTAGCATATATGTAATATTTTAAATGTGACTTCTTTTATTTTGTTTATTAATACATATTTGTGTGGAAGAGACCAAGCGACACTCCAATTAACATCTTCCACACAAATATGTATTAACAAACAAAATAAAAGAAGTCACATTTAAAATATTACATAGATGCTACCCTTGTAATAGTGTACTTAGTAAGTATATGCAAAATATTGAAAAAAAATTTACTTTCTGTGATATAGAAGAGACCATTGTACATCTTTTTTTGTGAATGTGTTTGTGTAAAAATGTTTGGGAATGAGTTATGTACATATCTCTCAGATAAAACAAATGTTAGAATATGTATCAACACTTTTGATATTATTTTCTTTTATTATAACTCTAACTTTGGGATTCAATATATTGTTAATCTTTTTATTATACTTGGCAAATTTTTTATTCATAAGTGTAAATTTTTGGGTAAGAACCCAGTACTGTCAATTTTCCTGGCTGACTGTAATTCTTACGTTTTATCTTTGATGGGCATAAAAAAAAAAAATCATTCAAAAGTAAAAAATTGCTTTCAATGTTTAACCTTGTATAATTTCCCCCCTCTGGTTTATGTTATTTATTTGTTTGTTCTTATTTTTATTTATTTCTTCATTTATCTATTTATTTTTTACTTTCTATCTTGTATTATTTTTTTGTAATGTTTTTATACAAAAAAATGTATAAAAGCTCTATTGTTTTTTAGGTTGTTGTGGTTATATGCTTGTTATTAAGTGTTTTGGCATTAATAAAAAAATAAAAATAAATAAAAATACTGACTTCCGTAAAAGAGGAATAACCAATGACATTTGAGGTTACAATTAAAACAGCAAGCCCCGCCCCACGACTGACAAAAATAAAAGTGTTCGCGCGAGCAGGTGAGGAAAGATCGAGCGCGAGGATGTGGGGAATGATCATGCGCGCGCGAGGGCTTGTATTGCGCGCAGAGGACATGTCACGCGCGCGAGGGTTTTAAATAAGCTCGCGGGCTCCCGTTTCCTCGCGTGTAAATCTGTTTTCCTCTCGCGGAAGTTATTTACCGCGCGCGCCAGCATCAGTGGTGCGCTCGGTTATTAATGGCATAGGATTGCCGCCATAAAAGAACTTTGCAGTGAGTATATCGGGGCCTTTGCACATGACAGCATTTTTAATTGTAGTTTGGTCCGGCTTCGTTCTGTTGGATTGTAGCAAAGAGCGTGGAATACACTAGTCAAACCACATTACTGCAGGACCTTACATTAGGTCATTTGAGATCAAATGACTATTCGTCAACAAAAATAAAAAATTGTCGGCGTTGTCGATAATGTTGACTTATTGTTTCAGCCTTGCTGTAAAGGTACCATTTTTTGCTCGCTTTGTGTATAATCCATTCACAATTTGGACGTGGATCAATGTCTACGTATACTGCTAAGTTTGATGAGTGACAAACACTGACAGTGACATTTTTCATGTTATCGCTATGAATGAAAATGAAAAATTTAGATGTTCAAGATTCGTAAATAAATTACATTTTATTTATTTTTTGGGTGAATCCATTTATGCCTACAGTAAGCAGAGACTATTAGTGCTTAAGTGCACAGTTTCCCAAAGGCATCGTAAAAATATATAGAATTTTATAATAATTTTATAATTTATTTTTCAATCACTAATAGATGGCTAACATTTCTGAATGTTTTCCCAATGTACTAAATTGCAGTTTCTCAAACTAATTTACATGCAGTAGTCATGTTGTCTTGCCTATTGCAGAACTTGCTGTGCTGCAGCACGTTTTAACACCAAGAATGAAAGCATCACATGTTGCCATTGAGACTATGAAGGAACACCTGGATGCTGTCTATGACATAACTGTTGCATATGAGGGAACACTCACAGCAGACGGCCAGAGACATCCAGCTCCTACAATGCCAGGTATGTTGTTATTGCTATACATTCAGTTTGTAAGCAGCATGTTTACTTTTCTCAACTAAAACAGGAAAGAAGGCAGACACACAGTGTTAAACCATTAATTGAGGACTGTAAAAATACAGATATGTGAATTTCTTGTTACTTCCTGTAAACAGTGGTTGTTACAATGTGTTATTTTCCATTTGTTCCCAAAAACACTAAAGCAGTAAGAGGTTTCATAAACAGTAGCAACATTTAGGTAGCTGTTAGGATATTGTCACATCCTTCTTTATAAAAAAAACCAAAACAAAACTGGTAAGCAATAGGTCGGTCGCGATATCAAAGTTTCAGTCATGCGTCACATTTCCTGGTCCAAGTGCTCTGTCAGATTCCACAAACAAACAGCAAACGGTGCTTATATACAGTACACACACGGTGTGCTGTAATACTACTTAAAAACATGATCCTGACCCTTATCTCCATAATGAAATCGGATTTAACCAGAGAGTGATTCATCTTTTATGAATCGTTAAAATATTGGTATCTGGGACACTGAACATGAAGACGGTAGTGTTCACCTAACATTTTTAAAGCTTTGCTTAAAGGTATGCTATAAAAGAATGGTGATCATAAATTGCTATTGAAACGTTGTAGAGACTTGAACCCAGAAAGAGTATTCATTACATAATGACTTGGCTAGCTTATATGATATTGTTCATAATCCTTTAAAAAAAAAAAAGGAGGATTAATGTAAATCATTTATTTATTATTCACAATTATTACACTCAGTTTCATCCAACGATGCATGTTAAATATAGTAAATAACTTTTTACAGTTTATAGAGTAACCTACAAGACTGACCAACTGACTCAGTGGAGAGAGAGAAAAAAAAGTCCAGTCTTGCTTTATTTTGGTAACACATTTTTGTTTTCCTTGTTTATTACATAGTGGCCCACCACAGTCTAATTTGTCCTGCCACAGTTTCATAATGAACTGAAAATATTTTTAAACTTCTCATAATAGCATAAAATAACAGTGTTTTTGCACCATTGCTTTGTCAAAAGATGTTTCAATTGAACTAAAAACTAAATTGCGATATGATTTAAAGGTGACATATCATAAAAATCTGACTTTTTCAGATTTTAAGTGCTATAATCAAGTCCCTGGTGCATCTACCAACCAAGGAAACGTGAAAAAGATTAACCCAATCACTTTGTTTAGGAAAGCCTTTTTCTGCAGGCGTCTGAAAACGAGCACGTCTGATTTCGCTCCCTTGGTGATGTGGCAAAGGGATCTCATTATAATATTACCGCCCCTTAATCTGTAAACTTCCACTCAAGGCACCGTCATTTTGATTTCGCAAGCGACAACGGTGTACCAGCTCTAATGCCATGGCAAAAGTTTGAGCAAAACATGCTAACTGTTCTGTCTTTGGCTGCACAGACGAGCGCAGAACACTATTTAGATTGAGCTGAAACTTCACAGACACATTCTGGGGACACCAGAGACTTATATTACATATTGTGAAAAGGGGCATAATAATATGTCACCTTTAATGCACTTATCAAATCACGAAAGGCTGTGATTTAATTACATTGTAGTCCGTGTTCATTTACATTCAAGCAACTCATGATTTAGGTGTTTCACTGTCTTCGAGTGACTCGATTCACAATAAATGTAGCAAACAAATACATTTATTTGGAACAATGTGCATTTGGTACGAAGTTTTTGAGTTACCTGAACTTGCGCACAGCATAGTAAATACGGTGGAGAATTGTAGAATGACAGCATTTTGTTCATTTTTATTTTACTGACCATCAAGCGAAGCTCATTAGTCGATCGTTAACCAGTAAGATTAGAATGTCTTTTTTTTTTTTGTTGTTATGTCAAGGGCTTTAGCTTTATATGTGCGAATAGCAGCATAAACAAGACCATGAGGATTCAATTGTTGCATCATGCTTTTGTGAAAGGAGAAAAACAGAAATTAAGTCTATAAAAGGAATAAAATAAATAGGATCACACAAAATATATAATAGGCTATAATATAATTAATAGATTAACAAAAGGGGAAAAAAAACACTGCAACAAGTATAGGCTACGCTCATTTTTGTGACACTCTTAATGCATTTTATTTCTTTTCTTTATATGTTTATTTGATTTAATCCATCTGATCGCACAGGCGCCTCACGCACACACAAACAACATTAGTTCTACCGTTGCCTGACATTTCAGCCATTCATCATCAAACTAAAATGCAGTCAACCAAACGTAAAAGTTACACTTTTATTTTAAAAGGTCCGCTGTAAAATCAGCGTGCAGCGCCCAAACAAACATTTTTGCACATGTGAAGGATTTTACACGGATATACAGGGCTTAAAGTTCTCCGGCACCATGCCGGATCTCCGGTGTGCGGCGTTTGGCTGCGGGGAAAAAAAGGATAGTCGTCCTACATTGAAAAACACTTGTTGATATTACGTTCAAGTTCATGAGTTCGCCTACCAATGTATGAGAGGAACACAGCTTTCAACCAAACTAATATTACTAGCCAATCAGAAGTTTTTGCTCATATAAACACGAGAATGCATTATAGTATCCAATTGCAGAGTCGCAGCTGATAAATGGGAAAGAAGCCTGGGTCTGAGGCGCAATGTTCAAAGATTTCCATCTAGCGTCATATTTACATAGTCAAGTTCATGAGTTCGCCTACCAATGTATGAGAGGAACACAGCTTTCACTCTCAACCAAACTAACATTAGCTAATCAGAAGTTCATCTGGGAAAACTCACTTGATTTGTAACGTAAATCATTTAAACCTATGCCAACACAGGAGAATACAACATATTTCTAAATATGCGATTTATTGTACGTCACGATTTCAAAATAAAAGTTTATTTTATATTCATTTCCTAGTATTTAATTGACCATTATTTCTTTTGAACAAAACAATTTCAGAAATGTGTTTTAGATTGTAGGTCATCTTGTACCCTGTCAAGGACAAAGCTAACCAGCAAAACTTGATATCAAAATCATCCTAAATGTTACATGTGTTTGCATGTGTTTGCACCATATTGTAGTGAGTAAACTTTCTTGGTATTGCTGTTTCAAATATCCACCATAGTCTGTTCCACCATAGTCTGAGCCTGTTAAGGGCTAATGGCAATGGCAGATACGTTACTAGTTAGTTTCAGGGAAAATCATTTTCTTTTTTTGTTTGCCAAATAACCCTGTGTATGTGTCCGTCCCCCCAACCCCCGGAAAAAAGTTCAGGCTCAGGATATTTTTTTGCTTTAACCCCTGGATATAACATGACTGAAGTATAAAGCCACGTTTAGGCTACATAATGAATAATAGTTATGCAAACAAATTTGTATGCTGTTTATAATGAATGCCACTATAGCCTAATTTGTGTTTATTTTATAGTTTAAAATATAATTTTATAACTACTTATTTTTCATTCTTGTTCTGCTCTGAATACTGTTAAATTTAAAATACTTGTTGTAGCGTGAGGGGAACGCTGTTTATATTTACCAGTATTTTAATATACATATACATTTAATTTATTAATGCAGCCTAATTGTTTGCAATTACAAGGTTAACGAGTGTTTTTGGAGTAAGCTCAATTTCTCTTTCATGAGATTACTTCCTCTTTTTGACCGGGTTTCATTTCTCCATGTCGTAAACTCTAGGGGCGAGGCTTCTAAACCAGGGTGTTTTTAGGGGCATGATATTTAAATGACGATTGTTTTCTGCCGCCACATTTATCAACGTGCGATCATTCGTACGATGAGATTGGCAGCATACGAAAATTCTAGGGGCAAGGCTTCTAAACCGTGGTTTTTTTAGGGGCATGATATTGAAATGACGATTGTTTTCTGCCGCCACATTTATCAACGTGCGATCATTCGTACGATGAGATTGGCAGCATACGAATGTTTCATGAATCACACGTGAACTCTGTCTTAAGTAGGGGTGGGCCGGTATGAGTATTGGTACCGAACGGTTCACGGGGCAAATTCCAAATGGAAGTTATCATTAGTGTTGCTTTCGTCAACGAAAATTATGAATATTGTGACAAAATTAATTTTGTAGGGTGCCACAAATTTGTTAAAATTTCCGAAGGGTGCCGCGACTAAAGAAAGGTTGGGAAACACTGCCGGCCAGCCGGGGTTCGTCTTTATTTAAATTTATGTGTGTGTACTTCTAACATGTTTGGTTGGTAAAATAAATGTTGTAAATTCAAATCAGAGCGTCTTCCGTGCTTTCTTGTGTGCCATTATGTAGTCGTTTGGAATGCACTTGGCAAAGGGCGCGATGTAATTTCCTCATTATCTTCAGCTGGCATGTTCCCATGACAACGCAGCACGGTGTCCGTCAGCAGATATTTACAGCATTTTTTTTTTTTTTATAAGAAATGTCTTTGATGGAAAAACTCCCAGCGGTTTTCTGCCAAAAATGAAACCTTGCAAGTGAACAAATTTTACTATGTTAAAGTGAAATAATTTATATAATTATTAAGTCTATAAATACTCTTCTTTTTATTTTATTTCACTTTCATAAACAGTTTTTAATTGTTGTGTTCGGTTTTCTGTTTGTTTGTTTTCTGTCTGATGGTTGTCTGAAATGCCTTTATCTAATTTGAATTCTCTGTGTGATAGAGTTCCTGTGCCAGGAATGCCCCAGGGTACACATCCACTTCAACCGCTTGGACATGAGGGAAATTCCTGCAGAGTCAGAGTTCTTCCGCAGATGGCTGCATGAAAGATTTGAAATCAAGGACAAGTGAGTATCCGAACTACATACAATTGCATATACATACTCTTAACTACTTATTAGGACTAAGACAATAAATCGATGCATCGTGATTCTCTCTCAAATCGATTCTGAGCTTAGTTTTTAACAGCAGATGGCGCTCTAGGCTAGTTTTTAACTGCACACTCAAAACATCCTTGTAATTCGCTTCAACCTTTTCGAACTTTATGAATGATTATTTTAGGTTTAAATGGTGCGTATGTAAGGAACTGGAAGCAAGCAGAATACGGCTATTTCTCAGAGGTGTAAAGAGTACCTAAAAACCATACTTGAGTAAAAGTAGAGATACCTTACAGTGAAAATTATTCCACTACACGTTACAAGTCACCAATTCCAAAACAACTTCAGTAAAAGTCTTAGAGTATCTGATTTTAACAGTACTTAAGTATTTTACTTATACTAAATCTAGGCTCAAAGATGCACTAGTCAAAGAGACATGCCAGTCAAAAACTGTAACGTTGTGGAGAAGCTGGGGAAAACAGGCAGAGGCAAGGATCTATGTGCAGGTATTTCATGGAAAAACTAGAACAAACAATAACCAAAAACAAAAGGGAACAAAGAATGACTGGCAAACAGACAACCATTACATTCAACAACTCACAAGGAACTAAAGAAAAACTAGGGCTATATATACACGCAGAGGCCTAACAAGCTTAACAAGATAAGACACACCTGGGGAGACTAATCAAGGGGAACCAATGAACAAACGGACTACAAACTGACTACAAACACCACGGGCGAAGGAAGTGACAAAAGTCCAGGGCAAGGCACAGAGAGCATGAAACAAAAACAAGAGAAAACAATATCTTTCAAAAAGGTCTCTTCAGTATAATGGATAAATAAAATAATTTTAAGTAAAATTAAAAAGCCGAAGCCGCTCCGAAAAGATACTCAAGTACAGTAACTAATTACATTTACTCCAATACTTTACACCTCTGCTATTTCTAAAGCATGCAGTGCCATCTTCTGTTAAAAACTAAGCTCAGAATCGATTCAAGAGAGCATTGCGATGCCTTCGGAAAATCTCAGAATCGATGCAGAATCATTTCTTGATTTGCGATGCATCGATTTATTGTCCCAGCCCTACTACTTATGATTACACTTTATTTTATGGCGTCTGTAACAAAGTTGTTGATCGGGAAGAAGGAGGCGGGAACCGGCGAACATTTAAAGACTTTAATAAAATAAACACAAAATGAAAGTAAAGTGGCAGCCCCTCGTGGACGACTGCCGAACACAAAAAACAAAATAAAATCAAGGCCTGGTCCTCTCTCGTCCAACACTGTCGTCACTCCTCCTTTTATCCTTCCAGAGCTCCTCTGTGGGACTTGAGACCGGTGAGTAGCGCCGGTGTCGCGCATTAGCATTTACTCCACCGGCCTCACTCCGTTCCCACAGCTCTCGGCCCCGCCCCTCTCGTCACATACCCCAATCGCCCCTCGCAGGCCAGGGGGTACTCACGAGACTGCGCTCTACTCCCCCCCTCCCCCCTCTGGGTTAGCCGATCATGGCGGCCGCGGCGTACCTGGGGGTAAGGACAGACAGACGAGGTGAGAGAAAAGGAGACGGAAAGATGAGGAGAGACAGAGAGGAGAGAGGGAAAAAAAAATCTTGTTCCGGTTCCCAGACACACCGCCGCTCGGCCCTCCACCAGCTGGGTAAACTCTTCTGCAATGCCAGGCGGCGGCACTGGACAGCCCTCGGTGGACGACCCGACACTCCTCCGCCGCCCGGTGGACGGCGACGGCTCCTCCGGGTTCGGGCAGCCGGCAGGAGTCCTCCGTTCCCTGCTCCTCCCCATTATGGTGGATGGCAGCAGGCTCCGGCCTCAGGCGAACGGCAGCGACTCCTCCGCTCCCTCGTGGATGACTGCCGCACACAATACACAAAATAAAATCCAGGCCTGGTCCTCTCTCGTCCAACACTGTCGTCACACCTCCTTTTATCCTTCCGGAGCTCCTCCGTGGGACTCGAGACCAGTGAGTGGCGCAGGTGTCGTGCATTAGCATTTACTCCACCGGCCTCGCTCTGTTCCCACGGCTCTCGGCCCCGCCCCTCTCGTCACAGCGTCCTTTTTACAGTGTAATTATACATTTAAGTACTTGGTAATATTAATTAACTACAGAGGTGGAAAGTGACGAATTACATTTACACGCGTTACTGTAATTGAGTAGCTTTTTTGTGTACTTCTACTTTTTAAAGTAATTTTTTTAATCTGTAATTTTACTTTTACTTAAGTATATTTTGTTTGAAGTATTGTACTTCGCTACATTTTAAAACATTAATTACGGAGTAAAAAAAAAAAACGCTCCCTGGAAACTACTGCAGTAAATAATGGGCAGGAGAGAAAACTGCCGCTAAAATCACAAGAAAGATGGAGACGGACAAGAAAGGTGTTATGGTGCAGACCCAGCTGAAGTTGAACTCGAAGGAAATTAAGTGAACCCCTGGCCATATTTATGCTCTATTATGCAGTGTAAGCTGTGTTTGCCTAGGGAGACCAAACTAGCAGCTTATAAAATCTCGACATCAAACCTTCACAAGGTTGTAGAGGTAAGCTAAATACTTGCATCGTTGCATTGGTGGTTAAAATTAAGCTTTGACAGTTTAGCAAGAGGTTTTTCACAAATTAGCCAAAAAGACAGTGCTGCGGAGTGTGCGATATATATCGTCTGCGATAATATCGTAATTGTAGTTTTAATGATGTGCGATTTTACATTATCAGTATTTTGCCAAAAACCAAACAAAACACCCCTACAGAGTGCCCTGAAGTCTAGTAGATTAAACTAGTGCGTGTGCATTTAGACTGCGTTCTTTCACTGTGTGATTCAGTCTTTTAAAATGCATTTAGATGAGCAACATGATGGTGTTTCGTTCCTGAATGAATCAACCCTTTAAATGATTCGGTTCAATCGCAATGACTCACTTATTAACAGTGACTTGCTGACACCTACTGATGGTTTTAATTTCACATTTATAGTATCTTTAGATTTTTTTTTTTCTTATAATTTCAAATGAGTATTCAACATTTTATGTCTTGTATATCAAAACATTATTTCTGCATTTGTAAATGCAGGTTAAATGCATTCATGTCCTGCATTAAACAGTGTGTAAATACATCTAAATGCCACTTCCGATGAAGCTTCTGTGTTTCCTCTGCATTGAAAAGATGAACTTTGTTGATACTGATTTAATTTGCCTGGTAACTGCCCACATGTCTTATTATTCTAAATAACTGATTCCTTTAATTAAAAACGACTGGTTTGAGATTTATAGGCCTATCCCAGGGGTGACAAACTGCCCTGCAGAGTTTACTTCCAACCCTGCTCCAACACACATACCATGTAGTTTTCAAATAAGCCTAAATGATTAGATTAGCTAGATCAGATGTGTTTAATTAGGGTTATATCTAAACTGCAGGGCTGAGTTTGACACCCTTGGCCTATCCCATTTTTGCCTCCCTCCCACTGTTAAAATGTAACTAAGTAATTTTTACTCTTTTTTTTTATTTATTTATTTAGTCATTTAGCATACGCTGACAGCTGGTAAACTAAGCTTTTTTATACCCGTCTAACAAAATACTAAATTAATTCAGCTGGACACACTTTCCTTATTTTTTCGCAACAAATGGCCAAGCAAGCGCAGACACTGACAAGATACGGATACAGAACGAGACCAAAAACGTCTCCACACAGTAAACAAAACAAGCGTTTCCTAGCAACGACAACTGCACTAAACACTAATGAGACAAGTAAATACACTTACTTACTTACTTACGAGCTGCTTTTAACTTCCGCTGATAAAGACTGCTTTTCTCAAAGAGTATTTCTTTACACTGTTTTCTGCTGGTGCTTGAACACACTTTCCTTATTTTTTCACAACAAATGGCCAAGCAAGCGCAGACACTGACAAGATACGCGATACAGAACGAGACCAAATGCGATATCAGCCAATATCAGCACGTCTCCACGCAGTAAACAAAACAAGTGTTTCCTAGCAACGACAACTGCACTAAACACTAATGAAACAAGTAAATACACTTAATACTCGGAGTACAAAGTGTAACAAGGACACTGTAAAAAAAATAAATAAATAAAAAAAAAAATTTTAAAGTGTTACCCTACATATACTTATTTTGGTTATGGTATGTTTACAAATTCACTGATCACAGCAGGGTTCCCATGATCATGAAAAGCTTACTGGAAATGCTGGATTATTTTAAAATGGTGATTTATTTGCAAGTTCAAAACATGTTTTCAAAATATGTCATTCTTTCTGTTTAGGCTTCTGACTGCTTTCTATGATTCTGAAGACCCTGAGAAAAAGTGCAGGTTCCCTGGAGAAAGCCAAAAGTCACATCTTAGTCTTACAAAGACATTGCCTTCTCTGCTGATTTTGGGTGGCCTCACTTTGCCAATGCTGTTAACAGAGTCAGGTAGAAAACTCTATCTCAATACCTGGCTCTATGGGACTCTGATTGGATGGGTGTGGGTAAGTGTAAGTCCATAAACTAGCCATACTGAGGGGGGAAAAAAACATTCTGACCACTCATATCAACACAGACACTTTGGTTTCATCATTGGATTCTTCATTTCTCACCATAGTTTCTTTTTGGCTCATAGTATACTACTAACCAAGAGGATCATTTACTATTTGTGACCCAGGACCACAAAACCAGTCTTAAGGGTCAATTTTTCAAAATTGATATTTATACATCATCTGAAAGCTGAATAAATACGCTTTCCATTGATGTATGGTTTGTTAGGATGGGACCGAGATACAACTATTTGAAAATCTGGACTCTGAGTGTGCAAAAAAAATTTGCCTTTAAAGTTGTCGAAATGAAGTTCTTAGCAATGCATATTACTAATCAAAAATTAAGTTTTGATATATTTACAGTAGGAAATTTACCAAATATCTTCATGGAACATGATCTTTACTTAATATACTAATGATTTTTGGCATAAAAGACAAATCAATAATTTTGACCCATACAATGTATTTTTGGCTATTGCTACAAATATACCCCAGCAACTTAAGACTGGTTTTGTGGTCCAGGGTCACATTTTTTCATTTGTTTTATTTTATACTCTTAACTGGCAGGAGATAAACAGTAACTGTGTCTGCACTGCAAACAAGTATGAGACGCAAAAAACTAAAATGTTCCAGTTGTCAGCATAATACGCTTGCAGCACTGTAGACAGATATGTAGATTTATAATAGGAATGTTTCAGTTTTGTTTCATGTCATCATTCACTTGCGATGTAGACCCAATGTGAGGGTTTCCATACGATCTGAGCTCAATTGTAATCTGAAATGCACAAATGGATAACAATATGTAGCACAGAGACAATGTTTGGTATTAAGGTTTAGTATACCCATAGCAGTCTTGAAATATTTGTCATTTAACCATATTATTGGCCTTGTGGAACCATGTGTTTAAATTTCCAGTATGCAGTGGTTCCAGTGTGTGTGGTTCTGAATATTGTGAATGGTTTCTAACATCAGTTATGTTTACAGGGTCTGTATTTCATCATCCTGATGTTCTTCAGAATATTTGGAGTATTTTATTATTTTATGCTGATTTCCATTATGCAGTGCAGGTGATGTTTGTTATGCATTGGGTTTTGATTGTATGGGTTTTGATTTGTATTTTTTAATATTTTTATTTGATTTGATGCCAAGATCTAAAAAGCCTGTCAGATATGGGCTTTTTATTGTAAGCGTTTGCACAGTTGCTAAATATTTCACAGATAGCTGCCAAACTTGCTGGTTGCAGGGGTATTAAAGATTGTTCAGTCAAAAATTTAAAAAAAATGTTTTTTTTTTAACTCTGTTATTCCGAACTTATATGACTTTATTTCTTTGACACAACCCATTTTCCATGTGTTTTTAGGACTTAATCTAGAGCAATAATTTGGTCAACATAAGAAATCTGAGACATTTGTCGTGGAGTCTCAGTTCGCTGGATGTTTTAAAATGTACAAATGATCTCAACTTGCTCATGCCATAAAATTGTCCTTTAAATATTGTTGCTTTTATTAGTAGTATATATATTTATTATTTAATTTAAGTGGAATACAATTGATTCATTGTATTACTTGACATTAACCAAAAAACAATTTCATTAAGTGCTACTGGAGATGTTTAGAGCTTTGGAAGACCATAGACATTGCCAGAGCTTCAACAGGACTCACTCTACTGAAGCTTCTGGGTCACTTTAGATAGAAAGGTCAGTGTAAGCTCCCACATTAAAAAGATTTGTTGACACAGTTGATTGCACTTACCCATAATTTATAATGTGATTGTCATTGAAGTCCATAAAAAGTAAAAAAAAAATATATATATATATACTGATGGGAAATGTATTTGAACATTTGGAGAGTATGGGAATTTTAAAAGAAAATGAGGCAATAGCACAAATGCCTTCAGTATAAGTTCATAACCCAAAACTTTAACCCCTAAATAGTATCGAGCACAAAATCACCGATCACAGTAGGGTTCCCACAATCATTGAAAATCTGGAAAAGCCTTGGAAATTTATCAGTCAAAAAAGTGTTGGGGAAGCTGTTGAATGTTGTGAATGTTGAAACTGTAGTTAGCCAAAAGCTGCACATACTTTAAAGTAGTTAAACTAAAGTCAAACATTTACATGTATTCAGAGACCTTTTTGTCACAGTCAGATCCATCCATGATTTTTCTAAAGTCAGACATTTTCTTAAATTGCATTGCATTGCATTTATAATAACATAATTAGAAGAACATATTTTCGGCATAAGTGCATCATTTGAGATTTGATACTTTGTTTTATTTTATACTATGTATAATGATTCTTAAGTCACCAATCTATGTGAGACTATGCAAAGTATTTCAACTGCAACAAACTTTCTTTTAAAGACTTGTACATATTCTTTAAATAGCCATTTAGTCAAATGGCCATTTTGTGATTTACAAAACATCAAAATATTTTACATCAATGATATAAATATTTTACATCACCTAAAACTCCTGAGAGAAGCATTAAATATGCTATGGGTGATTTTACCCTATCCCCCAGGGAAGATGAAACACTGTCCAAGTTCCTCCACAAACCGTTGGATAGACAGGGTCAATGTCGAGTATGTGAAATGTGAAGTGACGTGTGGCGACCCATACTCAGAATTTGTGCTCTGCATTCAACCCATCCAAGTGCACTCACACAGTAGTGAACACACACACCCGGAGCAGTGGGCAGCCAGCAATTGGGAGTTCAGTGCCTTGCTCAAGGGTCTCGCCTCAGTCGTGGTATTGAGGCTGGAAGAGAGTGCTGGTTATTCATTCCCCCCACCTACAATTCCTGCCGGACCTGAGACTCAAACCCACAAACTTCGGGTTACAAGTCCGACTCTAACCATTTGGCCATGACTAATGTAAGTATGAGTTTCATTTGTCCGGTAATCGTGTCTGCAGGTACAACTTTGACAAGACCTGAGCACAGTGGACAATGATTAAAGGATTACCAGGGGTGTAGCGTCTGGATATGCAGGGTGTGCATATGAGCCCGGGCTAATTGGGGGCCCGCCGAGGGGGACCATTTAATTCAAACGAGGGAACTTAATTCATGGCCACAATAAATATATATATTTTTTGTCCGCATGTCATGTGTGGTAATTCCTTGTGTGCATTTGTTATATTCCTGTTGTAGAACTAGCCAAATAATTAACACAAAAAAACAACTGTGAGGTTGGTAGCTAGCTAGTTGAAAAGACTATCACAACTGTATCACATCTAGCTTCAGCGACTGCGGTCAAGCCAGCTACGGTTCAGAAAAACACGGTCAAGCCAGCAGCGATTGAAATTGGTGTGCACGCGTAATACAATAATTACCGTAATTGCAGGAACACGCAGAGAACGCGCTTTCAGAGCGCTTTTCATTTAGACGCCCAGAATTGAGATATAATATAACAAGATGACATTTCTCGATTTCTTTTTTGTATTTTTGCTTTAATATGCATGTGTTTTTATTGGTGTTTTGACAGCTGTGTGTTACTGTATTTTTCTACCTTTCAAATCTTAGCAGGATTTGTAGAAAAAGAGATATGGGAAATTATAAATAAAGGTGACTTGACTAAATCGAATATAGCACTTTTAACAATACAGATTGTGTCAAAGCAACGTTACAGCATTAAATAGGAAAATAGTGTGTCAATAATGCAAAATGACAATAGTAAACACTCAATTTTCAGTTAAAGGCAGTTCATCATTGAATTCAGTGATGTCATCATCCAGCTCAGTTCAGTTTAAATAGTATCTGTGCAATCAAGTCAACGATATCACTGGCAATTAAGTGTCCCCAACTAGTGTCCCCAAGTTGGAACCAAAACTCAATCAGTGACACAATGGACAAAAAAACCTTGGGAGAAACCAGGCTCAGTCGGGGGCCAGTTGACTGGAAATCCTCACAGATACCATTTTTCTCTAAGAAGGAATATAATTGTGAGGATACTACATTTTCTAGTATCTTGGACAGAAAAGGGAAATTCAAGATTGGTCTGTAATTAACTAGTTTTTTGGGGTCAAGTTGTGTTTTTTTGATGAGAGGCTTAATAACAGCCAGTTTGAAGGTTTTGGGGACATATCCTAATGACAATGATGAATTAATAATAGAAGAGACTGAGACTATGACTTCTGGAAGCACCACTTTTAGGAGCTTAGATGGAATAGGGTCTAACATACCCATACATAAACATGTTGGTTTAGATGATTTAACCAGTTTATACAATTCTTTCTCTCCTATATTAGAGAATGAGTGGAATTGTTCCTCAGGGGATCTATAGCACACTATCTGATGCGATACTGTAGCTGACAGCTGCATGGTTACAATTTTATCTCTAATAGTATCGATCTTGGAAGTAAAGTAGTTCATAGTCATTACTGCTGTGCTGTTGGGAAATGTCAACACCTGTTGATGCTTTACTTTTCGTCTCTTTTAGAAGAAAACAAACATAACCCCATTTATTTATTCAATACAGTGGCTAAATTAACGAAAAATAATCAGATCTAGCAGTTTTTAATGCTTTTCTGCAGGATAGAGTATTTCCCGCCAACCAATACGAAATACCTCTAGTTTTGTTTTCCTCCAGCTGCGCTCCATTTTCCGGGCTGCTCTCTTTAGGGTGCGAGTGTGCACGGTGTCAGACTGTTTTCTTTAATCTTCCTTACGCGTAAAGGAGCAACCGTATCTAAAATGCTAGAAAATAGAGAGTTCATAGTTTCTGTTACATCATCAAATTGTTCTGAGCTACTGGATATTCTGAGGAATTGAGATAAATCAGGACGATTACTTACAAAGCAGTCTTTTGTGGTAGAAGGGATGATTCTACCATACTACAAGGAGTAGGATTTACCGTTTTAGCTATAGGAAGTTTGAACAAGACTACTTGTTTCTCTGGATAATGTTATATGAAGCACCATTACTTCAAACGAGTTATACTTGAAGCCCGCCCTCTGAGAAATACTGAAAATATTGTTATAAATTGTAGCAA